GTCTCATCATGTGCCAACACTATAAGGGATTAGAGTATACTAAACTTTACACATTATATAGGCTACACTAACATGACGTTTACTTGGTTCATTTAACTATTATACGTGATGTACATTTTTGGGGGAATGGTTAATGAAAGTGTTCCAAAAACGTTACATTAATTTCTTAACAACCTAATACTTTCATTGTACAGGTCACTGTTAGGCCACATTTTGAATATTGTGTTCAGTCTTGGGCTTCTCACCTTAGGAAAGACATTGAATTGTTGGAAAGGATTCAGAGAAGGGTTACTAGAATGGTGCCCGAGATGGAGAGGTTGTCATATGAGGAGAGGTTGAAATCTCTCAAATTGTTTTTCTTGAAAAAAGAAGAGTTATGGGGGATCTGATTGAGATGTTTAAGATTGTAAAGGGAATTGATAGTGTTGATGCATCATCATTTTTTTAATAATGAGAATAGTAGGACTAGGGAGCCACAAATATACAAGTTTTGGCAAGGTAGGAGTCATCTTCAGCTAAGACAGTTTAATTTTTCTAACAGGGTGATTGGCCTTTGGAATGAGCTGCCTACAGATGTTGTAGAGGCAGTACATTTAAGTGAGTTTAAGAAAAGCTTGATAAGTATATAAATGAAAAGGGCTGGCTTTAAGATTATTTTTTTTATTTATGTTGTTCCAAAACATTACGTTATGTTAAAAAGCCAAAATCATGCAAATGGTTTTATACTTTAAAACTTCATTAAAGCCACAATTATCCACTTCTTAGCAAAGCTTTTAAATTAAAAATGGTGACACTCATACTAAGGTTTTTTCTAATTCGTTGTTTTTAGGGAAGTGGGAAGGACTTAAAATCAGCTAAGAGTGTGCCAAAATGTATAGCTGAGCAATTAACCTGAGAATCCACTAATCACCCAGCTTTATTAACATGTACACAATTTTAAGAATTTCTAGAGTCAGTATCAAGATTTACAAATAATGCTTTTTGCACAGCAAAAATACATGCCATTTAAATAATCTCACACAGCAAAAATACATGTATTTCACACAGTAAACAAAACTGTACACTGGTAAACTTTATAAACATTTTGTTAGACCTTAAGGTTGGTACATCATATCTACTTGTTTTACTAAAAATTAAAATAATACAGATTACTCCCCCCCCCCTTTTTAATGCAAAGCTTTCATAGTTTGCCAAATAAAAAATAAATCCATTTGTACAGATATTTACCTTTATGGACAAATAAAATCATGTAGAATTATCAAACACGAAATATGATAACTGAACATTTTAAAAGGTAGACCTTCCTTACCAATTGACCCCTGGATAAGGGAAGTATAACTTCCCAAGTGTATAACTTATTGTGTTTTTTTGGAATATTAGGTTTGTTACACTTAAAAATAGCATGCTTAGACTGTCATAATACAAAATTACATAAAGTGCTTTTTATATTCACTTACACCAATCACTGATCATTAAAAAACAAAGACAAAACTTAAAAGAATATAAAAGAATGCTCCACATTAGTGTTATCAAGGTAACAAAATTGTTCTTCTTCCCATTGTAAAACACAAAACCTGATTGCAGTTCTGTTTGTTTCAGATATACACACACAAAACTACACAAAGCCTACTCACACTAGCCACCCATAATTTTGAACAGATAGAGGGAAATCAGTTAGTCAAAGCACCCACTCCTAACTCTTGGACTACACTAACCAAACAGTGGAATTTAATCATCACTCTTATAACGTACCCACAGTCTCAAAATGCTGTAATTTTGCAGCAACAAGATGCAAAATGTAAACCCTAGAATTCACAATCCCACATGCTAACCAACTTACTAAACTCAGCCCAAAAACTTCTTTTAAGCACTTTTATTATAAAATTGTATTTAAAAAACCCCACTAAATTTCATTAGATGAAAAAAAATTAAAAAGATTTACAAATTTTATGTTATGTTACAGCAAAAAAAAGAATAATATACTTTCTCCACAAACACAAGTGTGGGACACTTTTATAATCTCATGAATTTCTTGGTTTGGTCTCCATTCACAGTGTCAAAATGTAAGTTAAAAAAAAAAAAAGAGATAATGACCATGAATTTTATGCTAAACCTAACTCTACTATACTAAGTGTTACAGTGTTAGTACTATAGTTAGCACTATCCATATAAGAATGACAACATCTAATAAAAAAAAATGGATCTCAATTACACTTTAAAATTTTGGTAATCATGCTTATCAATTGTAGACGAGCCCAAAATTTAGTTTGTAGATCTGCTTTTAACATAACCTAAGGAAAATAAGGGACCACATGGTCCTTGAAAGCTGCCCTTACACACCAGTCTTTGGGAAAAGTAAAATCTTAAACCATCTCTTAACTTTTTGGGAAATCTCCCAATTCCTCTCTTAAACTCCTGTACAATATTTGCTTCAACAGCAATTTATTCCACAAGACAATCACTTTGTTGGAAAAAATAAAATTTTCTACACTGGAGCTTAGCCTGTTTCACCAAATCTTAAACCTGTGTTCTTTCATCCCACCGTCTTCAAAATAAGCACACAGGAGTCTTGTAAACCAATAATTATATGAATTTACAAGTGACAATAAAGAAGAATATGTTACAATATGTCAACCACACCACATCTGCCACATCCAGTGCCAATGAGGCCTCTCATCCAATATCAGAGTTCATTAGTTCAGCTAGGATACAAAACAGTGGTATAGGTGCTATTTATATCATCAACTTTCAAAATTGTACACAGTATTACAAGTTATGTCTAATCAGTGATTTGTATAAATACATATTTTGACTTGTAATGAATACATCTAGAAATATATCCTAAAACTTCATTATCACTAGTACTAGAGCACTGCTTTGATGGCTTGAAAGTTGAATGACTTATGCCAAAATCCCTTTCTTCTGTCATTCTACTGAGTGGGATCCCATTTATATTAAATGTGTGATCAAAATTATAACTCAAATGCAGTACATTTTACTTACTATAATTGTCATTTGCAAAATATTTCATCTTACCAAATGATCCAAGTCATTCTATAATACTCCAACACCCTCAATACAGCTAGTATTAATAGCAATATTCAAGAGTTTAAATATTGGCAACCTTTAAAACTAAAAGTTTACTAATTTATGACCCTATCAATATCATTAATTTAGTAAGATTAAGAAAGAGCAAAGGCCATATAACAGATTTCTGACTATAACGTAATGCACTAATAAGAAGGGTACAGTCTGACTGAACTCCGTTCATAATAATTTTTTTCATTCAACCACCCTAATTCCACTTCCAATTAACTTGTCTTTCTCACTGCCCTGTTGATGCGATTTTCTTAGGCTTAGCTAATCTTTTGTGTGGCACCTCAACAAGTGTTTTAAAACGAAACTAAAGTACACAGTCTACACCCTTTCCTTCGTCCAGATAACATAATCTACATTAACTAAGTAACTAAATAAAAAATTCAATAAATAAAACAAAGTAGATTCAACTATTTTCCTTACACTGTTACACTTAACAGCAAGAATATTGGGCTAAGCCTAAATTACTTCTAGTTAAACTATTTGTATTACTAAATTTTTTATGTCTACAGACTACAGTAACTGTTGAAGTAGACAGAGTAAGTATGGTTCTGATGAAACCTTGAGTTATGCCGTCAGCCAAGTAAATAATATCTGGTTTCAAGATAACAGTATTTCTCAAACGCTTAGTGAGCATTTTAATTTTGAAAAACATAACTTAAGACTTAAGTAACCCTTAGCAGTTATTGCATTCGAATACTCCAAACCTACGGTTATAATGTAGTTAACGCAAATTTTTCCAACGGAACTAGTCGAATAGAGAGCAATCGAATACACCATTTATAATGATCATGGGTGAAAAAGAAATAACGTAAAAAGGTTATTTGCATTGTGTTTTACATAGGTAAAAAAAACGTAAGAAAAAATAATACATGAAAATAATTTACAAAAGGGTCGATGATATTCACGAAACAAAAATAATAAAAATGAAAAAGCATTTTGTGACTGTTTCGTCATGCTGCTTTGTAGTATCAATTAAAAACGTACCTGGGTGATATAAGGAGATATCATATATTTTCTTCTGGTTTAGTGATATAAAATTTTGAATTTCTTTTCGGTTATTAATTTTTTGTGCTGTAATTGCGGAATTGTGTGGCCCGTAAGGTAGGCCCGGCATGGCCAGGTGGTTAGGGCGCTCGACTCGCAGTCTGCGGGTCGCGGGTTCGTAATCCCTGTACCAACAAACATTCTCGCCCTTTCAGCCGTGGGGGCGTTATATAGTGACGGTCAATCCCACTATTCGTTGGTAAAAAGAGTAGCCCAAGAGTTGGCGGTGGGTGGTGATGACTAGCTGCCTTCCCTCTAGTCTTACACTGCTAAATTAGGGATGGGTAGCGCAGATAACCCTCGTGTAGTTTTGCGCGAAATTAAAACAAACTAAGAAACATTGTTCTAGTTGATTTGTTTCTTCGTTCTCTGTAATAGATAGATAAATATTTAATGTATATTTTGCTCGAGAGGATATTGCAGTGACATCTAACAAGGATTGTCACTGACGTCGTTTACTCGCCGGGTTCAAACATTAACTGTAACAGCTGATGAACAATGCTGTAATAGAACAAAGGTCAAGAGGTGAAGCGGTAGACATGAAGAGTCCGCAGGGGGGGGGGGCAAGGAGCACTTGCCACCCTTGGAAAATGAGAAACATAATTCTTTCTTTATTCATTCAGCATATGTATATGATTTAACGCTTGCGTTAGTGCCAGTATTGTTACGTAAAACTGAAATTTCTAGAAAACTTCCACACGCTTATAAATATAACCAACACGACGCGCTTTAAAAAAAGTAGTGAAATCTATCACTAGTTCGCTATAATCAATGTGCTATATACTTTGGAAACTATAGCTGTGATTATTAAAACGCTTATCAAGTGGAAAACTTCAGATATTTGACCAGGAACCCTTACAAAGTTCGAACATTACACATAATTTAACTTATATAATATCTTTACGAAAACATTATGTAAATTCATCGTGAAATAACGAAAGACAAAGCTAGCTATCTTCCCATTAAGTGAAATATACCTACGTAATCAACTCGTTCATCGTGAACCCTCGATAAGATATCAAAGAAGTTCCAGATTAAAAAGAATACTTCACATTGCTTATAAGTTTCTGAAACTTTTGTTTATAAATCATTGTTTGTAATAACTGTTATTGTAAGTTGTATTGTTGCGTATCTGCTCGTTTGTTAATTATTTCTCTTCAATCTATCTCCGGCTTATATACTAAAAAAGAGGGTGTCTAGCAAACACTGGGACATTCGTGAGGTTGCCCGCTATGTCACGATCCTTCTAGAAACTCCAGCGCGCACGCTCCCAGCGTCGCGTGACTTCCGCTATCGTAACAGTATATTAAAACGTATTTGTGTTAAAAAAGAAAACTGTGTGTATCAATTTTGTTGGCAAAT